CGGTACTAAAGATGGTGCGCTGCCACCCGCAGTGCACAATGTTTAGTCCCACCTCGCTAGTTGAGAGGAGCTCGCACCGGTTTATAAGCCCCGTCGTGGCTACCGTGTCGAGCTCCTCTCTAAGCAGGCCTTTGTGGGCCTATTGCAAGTCTTCTACCCTGTGAGGCCTACTAGGCCGTACGGGCCTACATCCTGGCCCAACTAGAGATTGGGTTAGTCATATGCAGGCCGTGCGGGCCCAGTAGACGGGCTGTTTTTGCTTTATTTCAAAAAAAAATCCTTACCAACCGGGACTAAAGGTCCCCCAGACCACGACGCGTCTCGTGCCACGTGGTGGGTCTTTGGTCCCGGTTCGTGTTGAACCGGGACTAAAGGGGGGGACCTTTAGTCCCCACTCTTTAGTACCGGTTCCAGAACCGGTATTAAAGGTCCTTACGAACCGGTACTAAAAGTCATGTTTCTACTAGTGTCATGAGTTGTTTGTCAAGGATGTCTTGATTGACTAACTTAAATAACTCCACAAATTCAACAGGCAGCAACTCAACTCCAATGAGATCGTGCTCACCTTTAATTCTCACCATCATACTATCCTTCCTAGACTTCCTGCAAGTATCCATATACCATTCATGCAATATTCGCATCATCGTTGTTAGAGGAGGATGATCAGGTTTGACGAGAGGCTTCCCGTACTCGTATCTGAAGATCTCTACTGCCTCTAATGTTTCAAACTCTACATCATCGCTCAGGTAATCACCAAGATTGGTATTGGGCAATAGCCCCGGATGATTAGTGACGATATCGCTAGACACCTTGAGCGGGGGGCACGATTGCTTCGCCTGATCGCCGTGCTGGGGAATTGTTTTCCACTTCTTCATTGTGCTAATCTTGCATCACTGGAAGTACTTTGCCGACCACCGCCCATCTTGATATGTCTTTTTAATACAATGGACATAGTTGGAATCCGGCGGAGGCGTGGTGGTCGCTTTAGGGCATCCAGAGTGCGCTTCACTTTGACCGGAACTGCAGTTTGGATGCGAACGTAGCTGCGTAGGCAACAATGTAGTTGCGAGGTTGGTAGTGTTATCCTATTCGCTCCATGTGGGTTTGACACTCTACTTATCGCTACAATGCTACAATTGCCATGTTCCCTTGCAGGGCATCAATATTGCAGCTCCGGAATTTATTCCCCCATTTGTTGCAAAATGTTGGTGAGCGTAGCTCTCCAAACCTCAGGTCCCACCATTTGCAACCTGTCAAAAATGCAACAAAAGTATAACATGATCCATCAAAAATTTCTAGGAAAAGAAATGAATATAACAAGATGTAAATGCTACATATCCATTTTCAGTTGATACAAAGTAGAAACAAATCAGTATAACATGTTGTAAATGATTCAACAAACACATTTTGGTTAGTTTTGCAACATAAAGTACTTTCCTCTATATCAAAGTAGTGGTCAGTAAATGGAAGCAAGCGACACAGGGGGTTATGAGTTGCAACCTCCTCCTTGTTTCTTCAACATGGTTTGTAAATGCTTTATATATCATTTTTTAGTTCAAACATGCTTTTATTCTATACAACATGCTAAAATCATATTTCATCATCAAAACAGTTTTTCCAGCTCCATTCCCCCTGAATCAGAACTTAATGGCTTGAATGGACTTCCCATGTTATCCATCATCAACAGGTTTTTTCCCCTAGTAATTCAGTTCTAGAACTACAAGTAACCGTAACATAACTTATTTAACAGGTGGCATTCGCTGAAAAAAGTTTGAGGAAAATTTCTAATTTCAACACATTCTTCTCCATGCGGTTTTTCCGCAACAATTCCACTAGTTTTGAACACATTTTGTGCACTGAATTCAATAAAGAAAATACTCCATGTTTTATTGCTCAACATCATTTCTTGTTGGGATGCAACTCACTGAATTGGTGGTTCAAACCAACACTCACAGTTTCAAAGTATACATTCAGTATAAGTATAATCGGGGTGATGGAATTTGCCCAAGTTTCTCAGCTCAAATCTGCAATTTCGTAGTTCAAATCACTTGATGCAAGTGTCAGTGCAACACATGAATCTGCTACAAGTATCTTCGCTAGATTTTTTTTGAAGAATCTTACCCAATTTGCAGCAGCAGTGGCATGGGAACTTCCGGAGAGACCACCAGCATATTACGGTACTTGCTTGTATGAAGGGTATGTTGTCTGGGATCTACACCGCTCGCCGGAGTTGGATCCGTCCACCAGGGTGCAATGGAGCCACCGAAGCTTCATGGCAAGGCAGAGGCGACCATATCTCTGGTGATATGGTGTCCCATCGGGCCGAAGCAGGGGTGTGCTGCGATGATTGGGGTGGCGGGTGTCGTAGGGATGATGCAGTAGTAGCATTGTGATGGCGAAACGATGCCACACAGTGGGTACATGGCATGTCGGTCGCCGCTACCCGCTATTTACGGGGTCAAGTGAGACGTGGTGTGTAACCCGTGTTGCGTTGCAACATGGTCTCGGTTACAAATGTTCTATCGCAAGCAAGTGGAGGCGCGTTGCTTTGGTACACATGGATCCTACGCTGGGATGCACCTGATCCGATGGCTCTGGAGCCGGCTTAACTTTGTAAAAAAGCAACCGACTGATTTGTAGTTGCCGCCCTATACATGAAGGGAACTTGATCACGAGCCACGTTTGGTTTCGTCAGAGAAGCTCTTGTGGACATGATCGAACCGCCCGTTTTACAGAGTTAGGGAGGACAGAGCCAACGGCCCAAGAATCACAGTGTCCAACGGTCCTCGGGGCCCACTAGCCTCCGAGGACTGAGCCAGATCTAGGGCATGCCCAGCCGCCGCCCTTCCAGCCCTGGACGAGACGACGACGACGACGGGGCCCAGGCCGGGGGAGATGGAGGAGGCGAGGTCCCCTGCGAACCAGGCGAGATCAGGGAGGAGACCCCCCCCCCCACACACACACGGCAGCGCATCGAGGATCCCCTTTGCCGGGGACGGGAGGGAAAACTTACCAGATCTATTCCGCCGTCGGGATACCCGATACCAATCAGACTTGTCCACTGCCAAAGCCACTGCCCTGCCTCTGCCCCCAGGGGCAAACTTCCTGGAGCGGGGCGCCACCTTTGCAACCAGCACTGAACCCTACGAGCCAAGGGAAGGAGTGGGTTCAGAGTCGGAGGTGGAATCCACGTCGCCGTCGAGCACCCAAAAAGGGGATCCAGAGGACGCCAGCGAGGCCGCCGGACTCCGCGCCGACGCCGAAGCGAGGCTAGAGAGCGCCGCGCCAGAGGAGGGAGGGAGGAGCGGAGGGAGGGGGAGCTAGCCGGAGAGGAGCCATCTGGAATCGAGGTCGCGAGGGGGAGGGAGAGGGGGAGGGGGGGGGGAGGAGCCATCCCAACCACAGTGTTCTCACATGAGAGCTCTTGTCGACATGATCGGACCACCCGTTTTATAGAGCTAGCGTATACATCGACGTGTGTTTCTCCTGTGCGTACTGAAGCTTCTTTTTTTATGAAATAAAAAGGATTGTACAAAAACCTAAGAGCAAAGCAGCAGAGAAAGAAAACAGCATCGAAGTGTACAAAAGCTAAATATTAGCATGATTTCCCGCAAAAAAAAACACAAACACACACGAGCATGATTGGCGTTGATCATCTATATTTTTCTTCTTTAGAGAGGAATATGCATTGTTCTCTTAAGTATAAAAAAAAGAGTTGGGGCTGGTCGGCAGTGGGCTGGGCCTGTGTCATCAAATCGAGTCCAGTGAGTCCAGTACGCACATGGCTCGTCGTCTTGCCAAATTCCCCCAATCACGCGCAACACAACGATTTACCCCCCCAAAAAAAAACGCGCAACACAACGCCGGCGAGCCGGCTGGAATCAATCTTCCCCCGCCCTTGACTTCCTCCCCCCTTCCTCCAAGCGCTAGGACGGCCAACCGCCATCCTCTCGCCCTCTCGCCACTGTGGAGCTCGAGCAGAGGAGGTCGGCGTGCGGCGACCGGAGATGGCGAGGGAGATAGGTCACCGGCGACGCGTGGGCACCGCGCGGTGGAGCGGGAGGAGACGCCACCGGACGACCACTCGGGTAAGACGATGTATTGCCCAGTGTCATACTCAAGTGTTTAGGCATTTGAGTACACAGGCCGACTTCAACTCTGTGAATTTATTTAACATCATCCACACGACAAAACCTCGTAGGTCGATTTTTTCGCAAATACGCAAAAGTTGTGTATCATTGTATTGATAGAAGGAGTAGAATGAGTATAGATAGGGGTACAACACATGACACGAACGCAAGCAGACATGAACATGGTGCCCGGAGCAGAGAGACAAGGAATGCTCGGGCCGTACAGAGGATACATCACAGCTAAACCTACCAAGCCCGAACCAAGAGCGGCGCTCACCAGGACCGAATAAATGGAAATGCCAAATATTACAAGTACTCCAATCTCCTGTTTGCTCAAACATACAAAAACAGAGAGGCGGTGAAAGGAGCAGG